GTAGCTGACTAAAGGAAGATGCTAGGGGCTGTGGAAAGTCGTCGTGTGGAATGTTAAGAAACACCAGAAAGGCCACCACGTAGCGTAGCGGATCCTGAAGCAATGCACCCTGCCCGGTACGCTTGTTTCACATTTATCGCTGATCTCAATTTCATTCTCTTACCGATAGCTATAGCTTCACTTCAGCTACATTATAGTACAATTAGTCTACGGCGAAAGCTTTCGACAGATGTTCCCTGTAGAAAATATTCCATAACAGGTTGTATGGGTTGGTCGAGATAGAGCAACAGAGAGGACAACAGCGAATCTGCGGAACTTCATATCAGGCGTACATTGATACTATACTGTAGCGATGCAGCTTGATAGTCATGCTCAGAGTGTATAAGTTAACGGGACTATTTACAGTGAGGTATTAGGCAAAGCTGGTAAAAAGAATACATTATCGGCCTAGTGTCTCGGTTTACTGCAGGCCGCAGCATTTACTCGAAAGGGTAATTAGAGAGACGTGATTTCTTTAACTCCAAAAGGAGAAAGGTTTGACTGCACTACGTACACCGCGCAGGTACATAAGACCAGAGTAAACTTTCGCCAGTTAGCGCTGTGCTGTGCCAGCCGGGCTTCATAAGGACTGACCAAGTAAGTCCCTCGAATAACGCGAATAGAGCGATCCAATAAGAACCGAGTCTGGAGTGGGGAAGGTCCAGAAAGCTGAAAAGGTCAAGGCTGTCATTTAAGGGAGCTCCTCGACATAGGAGGTGAAGGCCTTCTGTGGGAGGCAGATTATACATTTCAGTAACCAAAGTCTCCCAGCCAAGGGACGTAGGTGCAGAAGCCGGGATAATGGCCCGATTGTTCAGTCCGCGGGGCACCCGTCCAGCTCGCCCATAAAAGCCCTGCGGAAATTACTGGAAGCAGTTAGGGCCTGAAGATGGTCATACCGGGCGAAGACATAACCCACTTCCAGATATGCACTCCGGAGGGAGGCTGTGACGGAAATTTGAGCAAGCCTTGTTGCTAGTGACGTATAATATCCGTGAGCTAGAAACGCGTTCAATGGAATCCACCATATCCAGTCTCGACACCTGACGACAAACCAACGGCGTTCCTGTAAGCATACCTAAGGTAAATCTGTATTTTTAGTTGGGGGGGGCGGGTGGGCTAGCGTTAAACTGGCCCCCGAAAAGCAGGCCTTGCACGACGATCCGCACTCTCAGTGATGCTGTTCGATTCCACACTGTAGACCTGGTAGACTAAACGATCGACTATGACCCTGAGTGGGCTAAGACACGTGGCTAGACTGCAATATGACGGCAACGGATGGCTGGTCGTGCGCTTTTGCATGATAAGTTTGACCGAACAGGAATCTGAATAGCTGGTCTGCCTTAGGATTAGCGTAGGCTTTACTACTTGAACGTGGAGAAGAGAGATCCACTCAAAACGGAGGCTGCACAATATTATTGGTGGTCAAAATCATTAAAAAAAAATGATGAACTACCTGCACATAAGTCGAAACGGTAGACCCTTGACACACGGTCAGATTATTTTTAGTCATGGAGATACCGTCAGTATGAAGAAGCTGTTCACAGTTATTGTAGAGATGGCCTGACTGATAACCGTCAGCCGCGAAGAGGCACAATGTTCATATAGCAGATCTGCACTGCATCTTGAAGTCCTGCTCGAGGACGCCATTACGTATGTGTGCCCCTTCCCCACATCTTTTCTTTCTCCTCTTTTCAGTTTTCGGGATTTGTCGGTGAAGCTAGTTCTACGCCTTGCCTTGCTCTTGCTTATCATGCAAGCTAGACGGATTTATATTGCGAACTCATGACACAACTAGAATGCTGACAGCACTTTCCCTGAACGCAGATCTAAGTCAAAACAGGTAGCAAGCATACTATGGGCAATACAATAGACATGCCTAGAGAATTTGCTTTCCGAAATAGAGATAATACCGCCATGGTTTTACATTGTTACCAAGCGACACATCTTTATCCTTACTGCCATGTATACCAGCCAGAACATGAGCATGCATTGTGACATCTCAGGTGCTCACCTGGCTAAGTGATAGTGAGAAGGAACGACGCGGTTCACTTATAACTATACAGGCTCTTACGAAGCGTATTATAAGCTTGCCGCTTTATCTCAGTGTTGTAGCAATAGATTTCCATTATCGAGATTCATCTTGAAGAGGTCGATTACGATGCAGTGCACATTGTCTCCGCGGAGACCGTACTGTAGGATTAGATCAAAACTCTGCCAGATTACTGCAGTGACAGGGATGGAATAGATTCAGAACACTATCGGAGAACATATCTCTCCTTGACGTTTTGTCTTACGATAAAGGCAACTGGGGTACTTTGGCAAGGATAGTTACTCTGATGAGCATTACAAAGCACCTGCTAGTACTGAAAGATGTAGGTAAAATGTAGATAAACCTAGAGAGTAATGCAAGGGGGAAAATGTCATACATAGCTGGGATCATATCGCAACTATCATCCTAGTGTAATATCCTTCCCGGTAGATCACACTAAGCAGTACCGTAGACCAAAAGGCTTTGGATATTGACTCCCCCAAACCCATTCTGGCGCAGAAAGTTGCGGCCACGGTGAATAGGGAACTCGGCAATTACCAAGATACTGATGTTCGTAGCAGGAATTCCAGCTTTTCCTAATAATTGTAGCACTGCAACAAGGGTTTTTCCGGTAGCAAGAGTATCGTCCACCACTACCACCGAAGCCCCTTGAGGTATCACATCTCGGCCTATTTCAATTCGCTTCGTTGTCGGTGCATTTAACGACAACGATGATATATGCGATGCAGACCTGGAGACGGAAATGGTGGGCGGGGGAAGCTTGCCGGCTTCGCGAATGAGCGCCAAGGGCACATTGACCTGTGAGGC